ATATTACAGTTTGCAATTAGTTTTCATGCCGGGCGCCGTAGCGGCGCCGCTCGAGTGCAAAGGGTTAAATTATTTAAAATTGTCAAAAATCCATTGACGTTCTGTACGAAAACCGATATTGCTGCTTTTATTTGCAACAGATTGTCGTCGGCGGGTAGCAACGTTCTCGGGGACACTTCGTTAGTAGAAAACTTGGAGACGACAAAAAGAACCGCTGCAGAAATCGAATCGAAGGTGACGGAAGCTCGTGGGACTAGTAGAGAGATCGACGCAGCGAGGGAACTATATCGACCAGCCGCGGCCAGGGCTTCTCTGATCTACTTCATCCTGAACGATCTGAACACGATCAATCCGATCTATCAGTTCTCTCTGAAAGCTTTCAGCGTCGTGTTCCAGAAAGCCATCTCGAAAGCGGACCCGGCGCCGGACGTGTCCGGTCGCGTGAAGAATCTGATCGAGTGCATCACCTACTCCGTGTTCATGTACACGAGCAGAGGGCTGTTCGAGTGCGACAAGCTGATATTCGCCTCGCAAATGGCGTTTCAAATATTGCTGGCGAGGAACGAGGTCACGCCCGGCGAGCTGGACTTCCTCTTGCGATTCCCTGTCACCCCGCACGTCACCTCCCCCGTCGACTTCCTTACGAACACCAGCTGGGGTGGAATCAGAAGCCTCGCCAGCAGGGAGGAGTTCCGGTAATCCGAAATTTATATCGTATCGTTCAATACTATTATTCATTTGGATCGAACGTATCGCATTTTTCATATTTCCACAGTTTAAAGAGAGACATAGGATGTTTTTGGAATGCTTTGTATTTTTTTTTTAAAGCAATTTGGACAGAGATATAGAGACTTCGGCGAAGAGATGGAAGAAGCTCGTGGAGTGCGAGTGCCCGGAACGGGAGAAATTCCCGCAGGAATGGAAAAACAAGACGACCATTCAGCGTCTCTGCATGCTGAGAGCGCTGCGACCCGACAGAATGACCTACGCGATTGCCGCATTTATCGAGGAGAAGCTCGGCCCGAGGTACATCGAGGGAAGAACCGTAGAGTTTGCGAAATCCTTCGAGGAGACCAGCCCCTCCACGCCAATCTTTTTCATCCTATCTCCCGGAGTGAACCCTCTGAAGGTAACGGACGATTCCTGATATTAAGGATGTATTGGCTATACAATCAATCCCAAAAGTTTATGCACTTTAGAAACGCATTTTTTCAAAAGAAATCAGACATCGGAAGAACAATGCTAATAATAAACAACAACACAAAATTTTCGATTTTTCCGAGATTTTTCCAAGGGGTACCCCTTCAATTTCTTTCAAATTTTCGTTTTTGGCCAATAACTCCCAAACCGTTGGACATACGGAAAAATTGCATATGACCTTTCTTGTAGAGGAGGACGAGATCTACAATTTCCATCTAAATTTTTTTCGCTAGTGTCAATAGTTGACGAGTAATTTGCAAAAAACTATTTTTTCGTTTTTCGTCAATAACTCGTTAAATATTAATGCTAGCGAAAAATTTTTACATGGAAATTGTAGATCTCGTCGTCCTCTATAAGAAAGGTCGTATACAATCAATACTTAATTGGATATTTCCTTCTATACTTTTAGCACGTAGCTATTTATTATTAGGATTATTCTTCCGACGTCTGATTTCTTTTTAATTATAGGAAATGCGTTTTTCTAAGGTACATAAACTTTTGGGCTGTATAGCCAATACATCCTTAAATTATCTTCAACTTCAGAAGTAAAACCGTCGACCACGACAATGAATATAATTAAATGCCATCGATCAATTAGGACGTGGAAGACTTGGGTCGTCGTTTAGGCTACTCGCTGGACGATCAAAACTTCCACAACGTGTCCTTAGGCCAGGGACAAGAGACCGTCGCGGAGCAAGCGATGGACGTGGCTGCGAAGAACGGACACTGGGTAGTGTTGCAAAACATTCATCTCGTGAAAAAGTGGCTACCACTATTGGAAAAGAAACTGGAAATAGCAGCGGAAGGCTCGCATCCCGCTTACCGAGTGTTCATGAGCGCCGAACCAGCCAGCACGCCAGCGGGTCACATAATTCCTCAAGTAATTAAACGAATTCTTACGAGATAGAATTTCTTTGAATCCTTAAACATTTTTCTAACTGTTCGTGTAAATAAAAGATGTCCACCCGTTAAATAACTGAATAAGTGAACAAAGGAAAATGAATCAGGGAATTCTGGAGTCGTCGATCAAGATTACGAACGAACCACCGACGGGGATGCAAGCGAATCTGCACAAAGCTCTTGACAATTTCACCCAAGAGACGCTGGAGATGTGCAGTAAGGAGGCGGAGTTCAAGGCCATCCTATTTTCCCTTTGTTACTTCCACGCGGTGGTCGCGGAGAGACGGAAATTCGGTCCTCAGGGCTGGAATAAAATTTATCCATTCAACGTCGGGGACCTGCACATCAGCGTCAGCGTGCTCTACAATTATTTAGAGGCGACGTCCAAGGTGCCTTGGGAGGATTTGAGGTTCGTTTTTCACGGCCATTCGTTATCCCAGAGTGGTTTTAATTAGAATTCCGACGGTAGGTACTTGTTCGGCGAGATTATGTACGGCGGCCATATAACAGACGACTGGGACAGGAGACTGTGCGTCTCTTATCTCGAGGAACTGATGCAACCGGAATTGGTCGACGGGGAACTTCAGTTAGCGCCGGGTAAGAAGATACGACTCTGTATTTCTATCGTTATTTTTTTTGAAAAATTTCGTTTCGAAGGATTCCCAGCGCCACCGAATACAGATCTGGTCGGCTATCACGCGTACATCGACGAGGCGATGCCCCCAGAGTCGCCCTATCTGTACGGTTTGCATCCGAACGCTGAGATCGGTTTTCTAACCATGACTGCTGAGAATTTATTCAAAACGGTGTTCGAGATGCAACCTAGGGACGCGGGAAGCTCCGGAGGGCAAACAGTTACCAGGGAAGATAAGGTAACGAGATACGTTCGATATCCGAGGACGTATAAGACATCAAGAATGAAATGCATTTATGATCAAAGAGATTCTTATCCAGATTCCACTGTTTAAATTAACGTTACAAGTGATTAGTAATGAATGAATGAATGAATGAATGGATATTTGTCAAGAGGTCGTTCACAGGTGAAACAAGTGCTGGACGAGATAATGGAGAAACTTCCGGATGAGTTCAACATGGCAGAGATAATGGGGAAAGTGGAGGAGAGGACGCCGTACGTGATCGTCGCGTTCCAAGAGTGCGAGCGAATGAACTACCTGACCACCGAGATAAAGCGGTCGCTGCGCGAACTGGATTTAGGTCTGAAGGGAGAGCTGACCATTACCTCGGACATGGAGGATCTAGAGAACGCATTGTTCCTCGACCAAGTGCCACCGGTCTGGGCCAGCAGGGCTTACCCTTCGTTACTGGGACTCGCGGCCTGGTTCGTCGATCTCCTGCTGCGAATCAGGGAGCTGGAAACTTGGTCGACCGATTTTGTCGTAAGCACGAAATCCGATCGATTTTTTTTTTTCACAATTAATTATCCAGAAAATTTGTTACAGTTGCCATCTTCGGTCTGGCTGGCTGGCTTCTTCAATCCGCAATCCCTGCTCACGGCTATCATGCAGTCGACCGCCAGGAGGCAAGAACTCCCGCTCGATAAAATGTGCTTGCAGTGTGACGTAACGAAGAAGAACAAAGAGGAGTTCACGTACGTGAATTTCAATCGATTCATTCGACGACGATTACATGTTTACTTGAAACGTTAGGTCGGCTCCCAGAGACGGGGCGTACATTCACGGGATCTTTATGGAAGGAGCCCGATGGGATGTCCAGACTGGAATTATAGTGGATTCGAAGCCGAAGGAACTATTCCCTGCGATGCCAGTTATTAACGTGAGGGCGATCACGCAGGACAAACAGGATTTACGAAACATGTACGAGTGTCCAGTGTACAAGACGAGGACGCGAGGTCCTACGTACGTTTGGACCTTCAATCTGAAGACCAAAGACAAGCCTGCGAAGTGGACACTGGCTGGCGTAGCTTTACTTCTTCAGACTTAATAAATGTAAAAGAAACTAAATAATAAAAGTTAGAATTTACACACACAGGGGTTTGATAAAAAGAAAAATAGAACAGTCCGAGCGTGAATCTCGGAGGACTCGAGTAACCGACAAACAGTTAATAGACCGTGAGGCAGAAGCAGGGTCTCTGAGGGATTGGAAGAATTATCTGTCATTCCGCGAAACAGAATCCTGCACCCTCCATGGCTTTACAAGAGTGGATCGATACTCGAGATACAAAAAACTTTCAATTGTTTATTGTCTATAATCAAACGTATCAGGTAATAAATGATGAACAGCATTAAAATCGTGCTCGTGTATATTCTTAGTACATCTCGTTCAGTAATACATTTTGTAACGTACGACTTGGAAGTGGGGGCGTATGTACATCGGTCAATTTAAGCGAAAAGGGAAACTCAAAGAGGGGAAAAGTGGCAGCAGACTTGAAAACGCATATGGAGTAAGAAATTTGCCGAGCCCGGGGTAAAAGCTTTCAAGATTGCGGCGCGGGATCAAAATTGCATCGTGTTAGCGAAAGAAATTAGATTTCCTGTGCGCGGGCACCCCAAAGAACGACATCTTTGTCTCGCTACGTCGAATGGAATCCTATCAAATATGCAGAGGTTATTAGCTCCCGAAGGAAAGCGGAAAAATGTTTGCCCACCAACTTTCCCGGTCCCCCACGGTTTCCACCGGATTTCGTTCGACCTCTCCGCGCCTCGCTTTAAAACAGAGGGACGATAAACTCTTGCTGATCAACCTGTTAACTAATGCAGGCACCGCTTCCATCCAGAAAACCCTCGACTCTTTAATGTATCGAGTTTGCTCTATCCTTTGCTCCCGAACTTTTCAACTACCATTTTCCTCCGCTCAAGAGTTTATAGTTTACATTCACCAAGTTTAATTCTCGGCGTTGTGTACCCCGTTCATCTTTTATTTATCGACTCGCGAAACCGAATTTCCGTTACAAGAATCTAATCCATACTCCGTTAGCTAACTATCCAGCCTACTTTACTGTTGCTTATTTATTTTGCTACACGATCATTTTTCACCTGGCTCTCCAACGGAGGATTTGATTAGTCCCTCGCAAAAGAGAGGTCTGGGCGTTCTGCACAAAGTCAACTCGTGAATCCCATCTCGAGGCAAAGATGGGGAGAGAGGAAAAAAAGAGTGTCGATCCCTTGTAGCCAGGCCTGGTGATTGGCTGCCAAACACCCTCCTCGTGATTCCTGCCGATCGATCGGCCCCCCTCGTGCACCGGCTTCAATCACGGTTTTCATTAAGCCTCGCCGGACGACCCAGGGTAAGAGTAAAAGAGAGAAACCGGTATCCAATGTCCGGTGTTTCTATTTTCGGTTACTAATTAAACGATGTTATTTACCGATACCCTCAACCGATTATCATTACACCGAAAATATATTTTGTTAAAACAAAACAACGACGGAGGGTCGAATCTGATAATAATTTTTGAACAACGAGAACGACCCCGAAGGGAATTAAAAAAGAATAACTGGCAATTGATTAGGTGATATTGCACTCGGCCATAAAACCGCGATTAATTTCCGGCAAAACGTGTCCCGGCGACAGCTTAACGAGGCAATTTAACATCCGGCCGTACGATTACGCCGCGCGCGAGCATATCCGGGGCGCGTTTGGAAACCCGTATGCTTTGTATAATGAGCGATCGATATACCGTTGGAACATAATAAGGAGAGTGGAGAGCCTCTCGGATCCGGGAGAGTGGCTTCTCGACAAAGAATTGCCAATCGTGCCCCTCGGAATGCTAATTTAGCCGGTGCGCTTCGCATAATACACGATGGCTTTCGACTCTCGCGTTTAATTCGGAGAAAACGGATCTGCTCCACGGGTGATCCGTCGGGTACGTTGACGGGCCGCCGCCGCCGCCGCCGCCGCCGCCATCGCCGGCTCGTTACAGTTGACAAATCGCTTGTCAAAACGACGTGTCGCGTTCGATCAATTTTTCGAATTAGAAATCGAATAACATGTGTGAACGAATTTAATAAACGGACCGCGAATGCGTTTGGAACATATCCTCGGGGGATGATTAATGTCGGACGGCTGCTTAAATGGAATAGAACGTAGATCATGATAAAACCATCTCGGCTAGGAATCCTAATTTCCCGTACGCTCAGTGTCCCTGCTTACGTATGTACCCCAGCTGTTGGCCACCGGGCGAAATCATTAAAAATCAGCCGGCAGGAAGAGTTAACGACGCCGCTGCGCCGTCCTAAATGCCAGGCCCGGATCCATTTTTCATCGCGGGTAAGCCGCGTCCTTTTCGTCAGGTTAATCATTTTTAAAGGGCCGACCGCAGGTGTCTCTTGGTTCCCGGTGACCTTGTATCGAGCAAAGGGGAAGGAGGAAGGAGCGCGGAGGCCTTTTCCGGGTCGAGAATTAAATTTCTACGAGAGGGAAATCCCCACGGCGCGAGGAATAATGAAACGCGAACGCGGGCTGGCACAATTTGCTTTGCATACGAGTGACATTTTTCACGTCTGTCAACGATCTGACGCGACCCGGTGCTCCCCTATTTCAAATTAGAATCGTCTCTCTCTGCCGATCTACGCAGCACCCGATCACCGACCGGTTCTATTCACTCTCGCCCGGTGAAAAACGCGAGCAGCGAGCGCTCACGCATTTTTCCTTTATTCCAAACCGGAGGAAGGGGGAATTCCCGGGTCGACTTGACAAATCGACGATCGCGGTTACGTTTCTCTTAATGTCTGATCCAATGGCTTCGGGCCAGGCCATCAACTCCGGACGCTACCGTCTCCCGGATGAAAATTGATAGATGGGAATAAAAAATTTCATCCGGATGTTCTCGTAAATCAACGAGGAACGATTTTAAATAGATCCGAATCGAGTACACGAGATCAGTGAACAGAATTATCCAGCGCCGAGAAACTATTCTATCGATCCGACAGTTTCATAAATCAACGGAATCGCGACTTTCGTCGAATGTACCAACTAGACGACGCGACACGTCCGAGGAACACGGCACGTGTCTCCCATAACTCTTCCTCGCACCCCCTATGAATTTTCTCGCTAATGTTGTGCCAACGGCGAGCGTGCGTAGATCCTTTTTTTTTTGCACTCTCGTCGCCGCCACTCGCCGCCGCCACTCGCCGCCGATAAATTCATCCCCCTTCTCGTCACCGCCCACGCCACGTTTACGAGTGCCATCTCCTCGCCGCGAATATTAATCGCCGCGCGTTGTTTCCACCAGCGACGGTTTTTTGTACCTCGCTAAATTTTCTTTTATTCCGCCCCGTATTTACTTTTTCCACGAGCCTTACAGAATCGTCGCGTCGAACCAGAATTTGTTATTCGAAATTTCACGATCTTCCTTCAGATTTTATACCATCGTCTCACCGAGAGTAGAAAAACCAGTCGGAACCGTTCGTAATTAACGCGATAATTGGTTTAGAGGAAATCAAAGGTGCGAAGCTCTCGCAGACGGAGGAAAATTAATGAAACAGCGTCGAAGGAAAGGGCAGCTAACTAGAGGAAGGCCTTTGAGGCGTCTGAGTTCGGCTCAGCAGATCTGTAAACTAATCAGTGACGCCTCGTCGATACGGAAAGCTAAGTCGACGTAACCGGATCGCTCGACTAAACTGCTTACTTGATTATGGCGTTAGTTAGCGCCCCGTGGCCGCTCGCCTGTGTCGCGATCTCACCCTTCCTCACCTTCCCTCATTCCGATCACGTAGATCGGTCCGAGTTTCGGCCACCCTCTGCCTGGTATTTGGGACACGTTTCTTTACGCGCCGGCATTGATTTCGCTTCCACCCTTAATCACGATCCTTTATCTTCTTTCAATGAGCCTACGATTTTACTAGCAGTTCCAAATTTTCTGTTTACGCGAAATAATTCAAGAGTACATCTTTCGCATTTCATTTAATGTTGGAGATTGTACTGATCGTCATTAAATACAGGAACTTTAGGAACAGTAGTGTTGGCGCACCAGAACATCTGAATCGGAACGACATGAAATTTTTGTTGGGAACGATGGAGAAACAAACGGATCTGTTATAGGCGTACGTGCACCGGTTCGACTCTGGGGAGATTACAAGGGAAACACGGCGAAGACAGTATACACAAGGGGGTGGCTACTAAATTTCTACTACGTGAATCCACACGCCGGATATCTTGCTTTATCCTCCCACGCAAATACTCCCGGGACAGGGTTCCGAGTTATTCGATAGTCCAAACATCCCCGTTTCCACTTTCCACCACCCTTCGCCAGCCGGGTCCTGGCGAAGCGACTACCTATCTATTGTAATTACCGGGTACCTGCGATTAACTGCGCGACGTTTGATCAATCTAACCAGATACCTGATTCTATCCTTACGACCGTGATACCATGGAAACAACAGACTACAGATTTTATTGGATAGGCGAACCCAGTAGAACGCAGGGAGTAAATAAATCAAATCAAGTTAGCACCCTACATCATGTCTATTTATTTTCATATAAGCAATATATCATTTCCCAGAAGTTTGCAAATGGTTAGAATTAACACGCGGCACTTGGAACACAATTTCCTTCACGGTTTCTGAAAAACTTCCACATGCATTGGCACTTAGGAGGATCGCATAACTGGAAGAAACAAACAAATTACATAACATTGAAGGCAACTGAAACAAAATGAAACTGAATTCCTCTTATTTCATAATACTGTACACCAATACCTCGCTTTGCGTCGTTTCGTTTTGCGTTTTTCAAAGTTGCGTCGCTGCTTAATTAATACTAATTTTCACTGTGCGTCGTTAGATTTTCGAGGTTGTGTTGTTTTCGGTTCGAGTCTTTAATTTTTTTTTTTTAAATTTTCTTTTCTTTCTGAAAAATGGCAACACTTTTGTTTCTAATTGTGCCATGCCATCAAAACACGGGGATTCCCTTTCTAACTAAAAATCAACGCAATTTTAATACAGTTTTATTTTCACTTTGTTTCGCTAATTTTAGAGTTCAGTTTCAATTACGTAGTGTGTTGTAATGTATCTACTTTGTTCAATTTTCTTTTTAAAAAGTAGTATTTTCGTAACCCTGGAACCTATCTTCGATCTTTACATGGTTTCCTATAGAAAATTTTAATTCACTTTGCGTCGTTTCAATTTGCGTCGTGTTTTTTTGGAACGTAACCACGACGCAAACTGAGGTATTGATGTAATACATTTCTATTAGCTAATTTTTATACTTCTGCCAATTCTTACTAACATGGCCACAGACTTGAATAGGCTGATCACATGTAGGTTCACACATAGTTGAACAATTTTTAAATTCTTCATTAGGACCACAATGCTGTGCCGTTACGCTGCCCACTACAAAGTATGAAAACGAACTGAGAATCAAATATAAAAAACACAAGATTTCAGCAATGATTATAAAATAGAAAGGAAATATCAATCCTTCGAGTACACGTTAAATTACTTACTGTAAACGCAAGCGGCGGCAAGAAGAGCGAGAATGATAGTGACGCGAGACATCTTTCCGGTTATACCAATAGAAACTTTGGTCCGCGTTTACCGTTCGATTACTATTTATACTGAAAAATTTGTCCTCGAAACAATTATTATTAATCGATTTCCTTATTTTATTTATAGAAATGTATTTAAGGCTAAATAATTATAAAGCTGTATATCAGGTAATTGTAAGATTAAGTTAAAAGTTAGGTGTAAAGCGTCGCGCAAACAGAAACATTCAAGGAGTTTCTTTGCCCAGACAGCGGGGGTAAATATAGTAAAACGATTTTCCGTGAAAAATAGCATACTGTTTGATCGTAAAACTCATCGATTTGAAAGTCGGGCCTCGGGAATAACCAATGACGTCTGGTGCTCCCACCAGTCCGTCTACTCGAGGACTCTTCATGGAGAACCTGGAATTATCGAGGCGTACGTGAAATGGCGAGTCCGACATCCGAAGGGAAAGTATCGTAGGCCAATATTTACGCGTGCACGCGAAAGGAGGCGAAGGGCTTATCGTTAATGCGATTAACGAAGTCGCATGACTCATTTTCAGGACGTTAATAACAGGGAAACGGGTATTTCGAATCATTCGTCTTCCTTACTGTCTTCGACCGCGAGATAACCCCTTACCAATTATCGTTTAAGAAACACGCGGGCGAACCATCCCTTGCTACGCGAGAGATAACCAAATCCTATCTCCGGTTGTTAACGTTTTATGTAACAGTTAAGAACGATTGATAATTTTGAGAAATTAACAAAATTCCATAACGATCATGATAGTCATTGTAAAAAAGATATTATGACTCTTAACTATAAAAGATAGTATCGAGCTTTGCAAAATCTTATTTCCTATACGAGAGTAAAATGTGAATGCAAAGTCTGGCTATCTCAGAAAGTTCACGTGCAATCTTTACAATTAACAGTAGAGTTACAAGAAACATAATACTGTAACTATAGAATGAGCTATCTATTTGAACCGTTGAAATGGCAGGACGAAAAAATTAGCAAGCTCGACGTATCTCGCGTTTTTCAGCTGACCAGTGGTGATTTCAGCTGAGCCCAGTACGAAGCAATCGACGAATCGGAAATACACCTGGCCGATTTATGGCCGCTGGTTAATACCAGGCGGAGAGAGCGGGACTCTAAATTCCGTGGATAGAAAAGCGGGGACGCGACCCTACGGCCGGGGATTCGCTCTGTTTCAGGGCGTTATCGCGTCTCCCGCAGGGAACGTGCCCGGGCCTCGCGAGATTATCCCGTATTGGGTATGGAGGGAGAGACAATGCCGGGATTTTCGACTGGATGCGCCTCTCGATCTCGGGGCTGGTTAACGGCACGCGTGACTCCGCGGGCGGATCTCGCGAGGATTTCAAGCGCACGAGTGGACAATAGAGTGCAGAGGGTCGATCGATCGAACGCAATTCTCGTGAAATTGATCAGCAGTAGAGGAAACCAACGCGTCAATTTCTCCAGAATTAATGATACTTTGGACGTGTCAGAACTAGCAACACTTTGTATAAGCGATACTCGTTGTTAATTATTCACGCTCGTTGTCAAAGGATCTGGCACTTGTTGCAGATTACAAATTGTCTAAGCACTTTATCGACTCGACATTAGATCGTAACGGTTTCCATCTTAATCAACTATAATTAAATATTATGGAATACTACTTTTGTCGAAAACAAATTGCATAATCGACGCAGCAGAAAGATTGAGATAACCAGTCGAGTAGATACACGTGCGGTAACAGAGAGAAAGAGAGAGAAAGAGAGAGAGAGAGAGAGGATCTTCAGCACATAAGAAGAGAATCATAAGAGTTCGTTGCATCCTCGAATATGTGCACTTAGGGAGTGTCTCAGAGGATATATCAGGCCTGAATCTCCATTTTCCGAAATGGAGCATGTTAAATCTGAGAGACAGCTGAACGGCGAATGCGATTTTTCTCACGGGTTAGCCGATGCCCCGGGGCTATCGATATCGTTCCGCAGACTGTCAGTTACGCTTGGCTGGTGCAAACAAACACCAGCGTCGGCCGATCCTCGGGCTCCATTTTACAACGAGGGTGAATTCTCTTAACGTCTCTCCCTTACGCCGCGAATCCTCTTTGCGCGAGGGCACGAGCGTATCTCGTCGATCGATCGATGTCACCGGAAACGGAATTCGTTTCTCCTCCATTCGTTTTACGTCCTCGTTTTTACTTAAGTTCGATCTGGGTCAAGTTTCATTTTAAACGAGAGCTACCGATACGAGCTCTGTGATTTATACAGATTGACGATTATTCATATTCAAGGAATGATTGCAATTATTTTGCAATCTTTGAACTTGAGGAACTGTTTACGAAAATCGTTGCATCATTAGTCTCGTTACGGTAATTGCGAGATGACGACGTAGAGTTGGAGGGACGGGATCCCTGTCAGGTCTAATAGAAATCTCTGTCGTTTCTTTGCGTCGTCCCTCTACTGTCGTGGAACGTATTTATCTTGCTCGCAGCCGTTATTTCGTTCGCCCCGTACGAAGGTATACGACGATTCTGTCCGACGAGCCACGCGATCATTTTTCCAATCGATTTGCCGATCATTCGTACGAGCGAACGCTCATTTCGTGAAATAGTCGACGGGGGGACCTTCCCGAACGGAGAATGGCTCGGCCCGCGTAACGAGCCACTTGTGGGGCCGATGAAAATTTCCTCCGATCCCAAGAAAACCTTCCAATTAATTCCAGAGCTTTCAACTAATAGTTTATCGGACGTAAGAATCTACCGTTCGAAACAACTTCTACTTGAAATCGTCGAATTACGGTTGTAATTATAAGTAATTACGATTAAAGCGGCCGTACAGCGATTTTCTATCTCTACGAGCAGCTTTATGTAGTTCAATGGGATAGGAATTGTAGTATCGATGAGTTTTCTGATGAACGCGTATTGTATCAGCTGTAGCTGGGATTCCAGGTTCGGTTGGTGAAGAAAACTCGCCGGAATCACCCTCAGGAGGCTCGCAAAAGGGGATCGAAGGGAAAAGAAAGGAGAAATGGTATTGGGTCGAATGGCCTCGCGAGAGTTTGCTCGCCGCTGTTTACCCGGCTTTTTTCCCTTCCACCCTCCTTTTCATTAATTAGCCCAGGATAAATACGAGTCGATTGAACAGCCCTCTCTCTCCCTCTCTCGCTGTTTCCACGCGCTCGCCCCTTTCGGCCAGGAAGCCACGGCGAAGCCCTTCACCCAGTACTTTCTAATCCACCGGAAGGACCATTTGCCTAGGAAGTATCCTCGCGCGCTTCATAATATCCGAGCCAACATTAGGGTCGAGGCTTTTTCACCCCCCGGGGGTCGCGTTAACTACACCATGCTGTTAGCCAAACAAAATACGAGATTCAGATTTCTTCCATAAAAAAAAAACCTGCCCCAATTTCTACTCCCTGGCTAACAATTTGCACGTAACAAAATACAGTGACTCCGCTTCGCCATATGTTACGACGGGAACGTGTGCACAGTTTACGGAAAAAAGATGCCCTCTCACCACCTCCCGGCCCCCGGCGTATCGCCAAATTACGCACGACGGAGTTTCACGAGGCGGATGTCACTTTGATCCGTGGTTCGGCGATTGGAAATGAACTCCCGATAATGATGCACGCTACGCGTAAAACGCGACCGGAATAGCGAGGGAAACGTCGAGAGGGGTCGGATCGTTGCGGCCATCTTGCTCGCTGTGGAAATTTCAACCCCCTCGTCGTCGCGGTCCCTACCGATAACAGCTTGCACGACAAGTGAACTAACAAAGGGGAGTAATCTGCGTCGTGGAAACTCGCCCGCGGAATTTCTACCCCCGTTATTTCGGGAATCTACATAAGCCCCGTTGAAACTTTGTAAAGAAACAAGTTAAGGACGTACGAGTGGGAACCTCGTTGGATGTTCCGATCTTCACATATAAAAGTACTTGGAAATACACGGTGCTTCATAAATGTACTTTGTATCAAAAATGATTTTTATTCACGCTCGTCATCAGTCGATTTTCTATAAACGGTGTTTAAAGCGAGGTCAGAGAGGGAAAAAAGCGAGCACGTGGCGCATTTTTACGGAGATGGTGGCCGCGCAGATGGATCGGTCGGAGGGTGAGCACGAGCGGCCATGTCGGTTCCCAATTAAACAAATGCCCGCTGGAAACTCGAGCGACCCCTCCGGCCAGGGTCGCTCTCCCTTCCCTGGCCCGTTCGACCGCAGAAAGGGGAGAATTCTGCACGTGTCGAGCGGTATGCGAAATTCGAGTCGCGACCGTGTGACGTAGAACACGCGGGCGAATCGCTCGCGGCTCCTCGATCGCGGTCGGAATTGCTAATTGCCTACGTTCCCCGTTACTTTTCCCAATCCTCCAGCGAGGATTTCGAGAACGTATATTCAAACGAGTTACGCCGCTGCGAACAGACGTTTCACCGAAAACCGAGAAAATTAAACGCAAATGCTGTCTGACGCAGATAACCCTTCCCAGAGTCGCGGAGACGTAACGCGATAAACTTTTATCATGGGTGACCTTATCGGGAAACTCGTGGTTCATCGGCGCAGAGAAGAAAGAAAGGATAGACAACGTTCGCCTCAGCATTTTCGACTCGCCGGTGAATTACATTACGGATCCAAATATTGGAGCACCTCTTCTCATGGCTGGTCCAACCGTTTGACTTCCCGATAGTTCTTGCCCGAGGGTCCAGCCAGGTCTCGTCAGCACCTACGTTAATTCCCCATTCCTCGCGTTTCCAATAAAAATTTCACCAAGAATACGTAAACATATCGTTTATTGAAAGAAATATATTTATTTTGTACTGATCATTACATTTCGTTACACATATCTTCGGTGTCATTGCGAAACAGACTTAATATTAATACGTAAATATAGAATATCAGCGTTATCTTCATCTCGCTGTTCAGTCTGATTCAATTATTGCGTTGGAAGAATGGAATCATCCGAGGGGCAGTGGAACTGCGTTTGGGACACGACTTTATAGGTATGCACATGCCTATGCCGTTCCTAGCGTAACCTTCTTTGCAATAACAGGCGTCGTTACATCTCTAAAAACACGATCCCAATGATACCAACAATTTTCTAAATTATTAAGAAATCTTTTAACCTGGACTCACGATATTAACGATGGGGCACATTTGGCCCAAAGTGGCACAAGTAGTTTGACACGCTGACCCGCATTGGTATTCCTCGTTCGGATAGTTGCAAACAAGCCTGGAGGCGAACGTGGCTGAAAGCAATTAATTCTTAACTTTCAAGTACTCTAAATTCTCACAGTATAAGAAGCGATAGCGAATTTGTCAATAAGGACTTACAGGTAGAAAATATCGCCAGGGCGACGAACAGTGCGAACACGATTTTCAACATGTTGGTGTTATGCAACCACTCACTGATCTCTTTGATACTCTACTGACGAGTGCAACCAAACACGAAAGCTTATATACAATTTCACATCGTACATACATATGTACGTGTCCACTATCACATGAACGTGACTTTCATCGTGCAATCTCTCGTACCGATTATGCATAATGCCGACGGTTAAAGAAACAAATATTCTTAGGAAAACAAGTTGTGTAGAACAAGAACGTCATTTACTTTCTACGAGCATCCCACGTCACGCGGAACGACTGGGAAGCCCGCAGATTTAGCTGCATCCTGTCGACCAGTTTTGAATTGTCCAGTCTCTCGTTCCAAAGTTTAAGATCATGGTGAGCAGAAGAATAATTGAAAGTACTAGAAGTAGTATGCGTGATGAAGCGTTCGGTAGACTACAGATTTATACGTTCGCATGAAAGCCGAATGAAATGCTGCGCAAAAACGATTAAAAATATCGAAAGCTGAACGTCAATTTCAAATTTTTAACTAAAACACATTTTTTTTAACTCGTAAATGTTTTGTTTAAAGAAATTGTAAATGCTGTGCGCAAAACTATTATTTAAATGAGATAAGAAATAATGTTTATGTTACTTGAAACACATTTTTTTAAATTATAATTTTTTATCTACGTAAGAGACCTCGGTTCGGTCAACAATAAGTTTAAAGATAGACATCTTCCAGGAAGCGCGGGTGTCCCCGTTCTTGTTTGTCATTTCGAGCGACACCGGGGAATTCCTGCATTTGTGTGCATTCCCGTGACAATGGGCACGCGAGTTCCCGTTTATCTTCGAAATTACGTGTTGCGTTCTGTCGGTTTCGATAGTTCGCCTGACGTTGAGGCGCGATACCCTTGAAGATAGCCCCGAGGCGCATACAGCGAATTATGATACCGATAACATTAACGAAGATGGAAAACCGTATGCTGGTAGCGAAGGAACTGAGTCATCGCAGGTTTTTCCGACCGTACCGCCTACAGTTTAGACCATCTATTTAGTATTGTCATTATTCCGTTTGAACAGGTATCATGCATTTCACTTAAATATTAGGTCTACCGGAAAGTTCTGTCCGTTTTTAGAATAAACTAAAATACAAATTTTTCTTACCATCAATAAACTTTATTAAATAATATAATTGCCATTATTATTAATGANGTCATTTTGACTGCTTTTAGGCAATATATTAGTATATACTAACTTTCAGTCTTTCTAGTGTTAAAAATAGAGAGGCACACATGCGCTTAATAAACAAAAATTTGTTGTGAAAGAAACGGACAGAACTTTCCGGTAGACCTAATAACTCGTCAATAGCGTTTACGCTCAATAAAATTGCAATGTCTTTACCATAAATCTGACTAATTCGTCATCTTCAATTTGATTTATAGTAGTACCGAGGAGAAATAACTACGGTCCTCGGTGATAGTAGCGAACAATGATATAATACTGAAGCAATGAATGCATCGATCTGATCAAAAAGCTTGGATCGTTCTCTCCCTGATTCGTTTTCGATCTAACATGAAAATCGTCAGGGAAACTCGATGGGACAGCGTTTAGCGTTGTTCGAAAATGGAGTGACGCAGTTAATAGCGGGTCAGTGTGTCAGAGAGGGAGCGAGACGTCGTCACAAAAGGGCACCGCGTTGCCTCCTGTGACGTGACGTCGCAGTGGGGTGAAAAGTGGAGTGAAGAGCAAGGGAAGACGGGAAACGCTGCCCGAGGAGGGTGACTCGAGCACTTCCAATCGAGTTTCCTCCTGTCAGTGGTTGCTGGTCGCCGTTGACGAGGACCTATGGTGGCGTGACAGCATCCCGCATGAAAACGTTGAATAGGTTGGCCGAACAATCTCAGATATGGCGAACCAATGACTCGATTAGACACAAATTTTGTTGAATCGTTTCGCGTTTACTCTTTTCTCGGTTCATTAATCGTTTAAGAAGTGAACAAGTAAAATAGAATGACTAACACGTGAAATTAAAGGTCTCACTGTGTTGTTCACTTCTTGAACCAAGTCATTATTGACAAAAAAAAAGAAACTGGGTAATTATAACTTTTTTAACAATCGTTGCCAATGTTTGACAATGGTAAATTTTTACGATCGGATTCTCGATCGCAGAAAGGAACTCTCTCCTAGACGTAACAAAGAGGAAATGTTGAATTGGTCGCGCGTTGTCTCGGCCGGGGGAAACGGCATTTAAGGTAAAAGCGAACGTGAATAGAAGGGAGCCCGGGGGCAGCGGGGAAGCGGGGGGTTGAATTGATCGCGGTGCTGACAAAGTGAGCTCGCGACTACGAAATTTCCCAATTGAATCAGTGCCCTCGACCCTTTTCACCCGTTCGAACCTCGCTGCTAATTGCAAGGCCTTGACAATGCACCGCGATTGACGGATCGATACGACGCGGACCGTCGACGCGACGAATTTTCGATTCTTTATTGTACAATTAGTTGGACGAAACACAATTACTTTGTAGATGATGTCCGAAATTTTGTTCGAAACGAATTTTTCGTGTCGTCTGTGTTGGAACAAAACTGGTTTAACCAAGGATAGAAATCACAGTACAAAGGTCACGGCCGTGACGAAGTAATAATAACTACTTGAACGAGAAATATCGTTTGACTTTATCTATAATCTGTTCAAATTCCAAAAACGTTTAGAGAATAAATAGCCAGAGTCCGTATCTGCACCGCCGCGACTCATTAACATGTGTATGATACATGTACGAGACGCAGAAGTCTCAGGCATTTCGTGAGTCCGCTGTACATAGTCGTGCAGTTGAAGATAGTAAATAGTGTCAGTGACAAGTTGTACAGAAAAAACCGAGAATGTCTAAAGTCATTTTTGTTCTGCTCGCCCTTATGGCTATTTTCTGCAGTAAGTAACTCGTCAGTCGAATAGAGAGAGAAATGTGTTATTGTGTTATTTTCGAAACGCTGCGAAGCAGGAAGCATGTATAATCTAACAATTTGTCATCGTTGAAGGCTCGCTCGGACGGCTACCGTGCGGACTGAACGAGGAGTACAAGACCTGTGGAGTCTACTGTGAACCTACTTGCTACGAGCCACGTCCGCTCAAATGCATCACCGTTAGTATTAACGTTCGCATTTATATGGAAATTGGTCTTTTTACAGCCTCTTTTACGACTGTCCACACTCTGATTCGTATCGAGATTCTTATCGTTCCTCGGTTTTTCCAGGGATGTAAAATTACCTGTCAGTGCGAGACCGGATACTTGAGGAACGGCGACGGAATCTGCATTACGCCGGAAAATTGTTAGAATTCGCAAGAATACAACTTCATTCATTCGTCTGTGACTGCTTTCATTTGTGATTTGGCTCTCTCAATGTTTAATTAAAAGTGCAGTCTTAATAAATTGTTTTTATCATCGAAATGTCCAGATGATTATTCACCCATGAATGGATATGAAAATCTCACAAGATTTTATTGAGTAGGCGACGCCCAGTAGAACGCAGGGAGTAAATGAATCAAATCAAATTAGTCTATGCACCTATGTCTATTTATTTTCGTATAAGCAACATATCATTTCTCAGAAGTTTGCAAATGATTAGAATTAAAAAAATCTTAACAATCGGAAAGTGGAATACAAACTCCATGGTGTTTGACATAGTTCTCCTTGCATTGGCACTTAGGAGGACCGCATTCCTGGAGGACACGAACAAATTACATAACATCGAAGGCACAATAAAACAGAAACAAAAGGAAACTGGATTCCTCTTATTTCTTAATACTGTAACATATTTCTATAGCTAATTTTTGAACTTCTGCTAGTTCTTACTAACCTCGATACAGATTGGATCAGGATTTTTACATGTAGGTTCACACATACTTGAACAATCTCTATATAATTGATTAGGACCACAATCTTGTGCCTTTACGCTGTCCACTACAAAGTATGAAAACAAACTGAGAATCAAATATAAAGAACACAAGACTTCCGCAAGGAATATAAAATAGAAAGGAAATATCAATCCCTCGAGCACACGTTAAATTACTTACTGTAAACGCAAACGGCAGCAAGAAGAGCGAGAATGATAGTGACGCGAGACATGTTTTCGGTTGTACCAGTAGAAACTTTGGTCCGCGTTTACCGTTCGATTACTATTTATACTGAAAAATTTGTCCTCGAAACAATTGTTATTAACCGGTTTCCATATTTTGTTTATACAATTGTATTTAAAGCAAATAATTATGCAGCTGCATATCAGGTAATAGATTATTTATAATCTATGGAAGCGTCCGTAGATCATTGCAATTTTGCCGCACGTAACGTCAACAAGACGTAGATCGATTTTTATTAGTGGATCTTGAATCATCAATTGTACATGATACGAGCTTGTGCGAACGAAGATAAACAGTAGAAAAAATCTTGAATGTACAGAAGTGTCAATGGGAAAGATGATCATTGATTTCGTATATCCTTGTTAAGATTATTTTCAAATAGAATATTTCACATAAATGAATAAACTCGAATAACTGTCTAATTATGCTGGTTGACACAAATGTGTAACTTCGTCTTGAATATTCATGTGTTTGTCCTCGCTGACAAAAGAGGAGCTATTATTCACATCTATCAACTTCCACGTGCCACCGTCCAAGGTAGAAAATATTGGCACAAAATAATGACAAACTATCCAATGACTGTTTTTATGGAAATCGCTATTTGATGAAACTCGGACGTTAAACGTAATCTTTCTCTTTCTACGTACGTTTTTGAAACGCAAGATACGAAGAAATGAATATGAGGACAGTTCACTGTGCCTAAACATAAGATCTATTTCAGTTATCCGTAAACTTGATGGTAGACGAATTTCAGATCATCTCGGTCGATGTCAAAGTTCACGGCCTCTCTAGATTATTAATCTCGTGTTCCAAATACATGTATTTTGATAACGACGAAATTATCTTGCCTGCTTATTAAAACAGAAAAATATTTACTAATCTACCACACGAACTTCTCGAGTACCAAAACCGAGAAGTGCATCCGCGTTCGATCAACGATCACTATCCTAAAACGAAAGTTCAATGAGTTTACTCGCTCATTTGACGGAGTACTCGAGATCAAACGATTGCCGGATGGATCCGTGATTATGTACTCGGTGTACATATGTGGTAAGATTTTTCAGAAGTCAAGGGATCGTCCTGAAAATTCAAATCACGCGGAGACCATCTCCTCTCGTTTCTAAGAAAGGTTTCGAAAACCAAATAGCGTAAAGTAAACGATGAGCCACTAATATGAAGGCACATCAAATAACAATTGCCGATATTTGCACAAGATAAGCACTCCCTCACCTGTCCAAGCCTCTCGAGAAACCACTTTTTCAAATTGATATTTACAACGTCGATTTTCATAAAAAAATAAAACGATTAGGATAATTGTTTAAAAAGTGCATTTCAGACTGAAATTAATCTTTCTATTTTCTGCACATTCAATTATTGTATAAATGCGTCAAATCTGGAGTGTATAATACTAAATCGTCTATAATAACATATTATATATGTATTATATGTATATAGAATAACATATAAAACGATATAATAATAATCAAACAAAAAACTAGTTTCGATGGTCATGAAGTGGGTTTATCCCGACTTCGCTTAAAAAACAGACTTAAATAAATAACATAATCGATCCACGAGTTGTCAAATAATAGAAGCCGTGTGGACTCACAGATCTTCTCGGAAGAGGAGAGATTACGGCGTAAACACGAAGTTGGATTAGTCATAATCGCGAGGCAAAGGTCGTTATCCTGACACAACTTAGCCTTGTTTCGCGATTAGGTAATTGCTCGGTTTTTCCAACGAAAATAATAACTACACGTGAAGTTTCGATATGGATATATCATTTATGGATGTATTATTTATTCATTCATCATTTCTCCTTACGAATTATCATTTTACATTTCTTATTTTGTAATAAATCTCAACATTGATTGGGCTCGACGCATTGGTTCTCCGAGTTACGTACGAATCCTGGTATGCACTGGCATGTATCCATAACGCATTCCTGAAAGAAACGAATAGAGAAATGTCACACACAGTGATACAGAAATTAAATTCTCGTGGCACTATTAATACTAACTTGAATGCAATTGACTGGAGGTTTTGGAACTTTACATGTAGGCTCGCATCTGGTACCACATTCTTTGAAAACCTCGTTCGGAGGACAAATCTTAACTGCACTCACAGCGCTCACTACGCGAATTTAAATATTAATTACAGAAAATTATGATTAACCAGTTAAGTGTGTTTGACGACTATATCCGTCATGGAAGAATGGCAGAATTTTGTGTTATCACGGCTATATCCGTCATGCGTAAAATTTTGTTACAATTTGATATTTAAATTGTAATTCTGGCGAAAACTAAATTATATTCGTAAATTTTAATATGTTTAGAATGTTACGGGGTCAGGACGAAATGAAATAAACAAATGAAAATTATAGATAATTTGAGAATATGTTTATAGAAAATTATAGAAAATTATAGAAAATTATAGATAATTGGATTTCTAACTTCCTGAGAGCTAATTATATCCGTCATCGGTTGATTATCGCGACACACACTGGGGCGCACTTTACAAAATGATCGACACAGTTAACTGGTTAAAAGTCTTTTGGAAAGAATACTGCATACAATCTCAATGATATAATTCAATGATTCTTTACAAAGATTTAAAAGATCATCCTCCATACTGTACTTACTACAAACACAAACAAGTGCAAGAAGAGCAAGAACGACAGCTGAACGAGACATTGTGGTTTTTGGATCACAGTTTGGCTACGACTATACGATTTGCTAACATTTGAGAAAGCGGTTCAGTCTTTATACCTATAATTTGTCCTCGAAAACCTGATTGCCATTATTTGTCACCTGTTCTTATCTTGTACAAACTTGTTGATCACACATGTCCTGTCATGTGTAAAATAACCGTAAGCAGCTGCTAACCATAATTGTTTTAAAGTAAACTATACGGATTTCGGGCAAATGAGAGATCGTGTGAGAACGACGACTTGGCTCGTTCGCGCAGGTGTTAAAAAGCCCAGATGAATTCGAAGGAAGGGACTAATAGGTTTCACAAAGAATACGAAGGAAATCAATCCGGACGGTGTAAAAATATTTGACGCAAAGTGCATGCACGTCTATTTATTTAAAAGCATCATCATCGTTGAAAATTATATTATGCCTTTTGGAAAATTGAATTTACATTGAACAAATCATTAAGAGCATTCGCTGAGCTTGACGCATTGCTTCGCAGAATTTCTGACGTATCCTGGACTGCACTGGCAGACGTCTACTAAGCACAACTGAAGAAGAAGAATAAACGATAATGGTAATATGTACTATAATTCGACGTGGCATCATCACTTGATACGAACATCATCACATATCCTCGGGTGCGGTACCTTACACGTGGGCTCGCAATCAGTTCCACAGGATTTAAAGACTTCGTTGGGAGGACAGATCGCGCTGATGCTACCCACTGAACGAATATTGAATTTAATTACACTGAGAATAATATTCGTAAACGAACAACTTACGCAGGTACACAACGAGGAGGACGACGAAAGCGATGTAACGTGACATTTTGCTGATCACAGAATCGAGAATATGCATGTTTGGAAATTCATAAGAACTTTTATACCTCCAAAGACAATGAAAACTGTTAACATTGTTATATAACATAGTGCAATACAACAAAGTATTGCATAAAATACGAACAGTTGTACAGCTGCAAGGTTCAGTCAATTATCATGAATAATATTAAGCATTCGTTCAGACTTTCGTACCCCACGCGGAGTTCAAGACTTATTGTTTTCCAATTTAAATACATCGAATCGGCAGGCAAACAGTGGTTAATCGGACTACAGCTTATAAATCTACATGTTTTTGCTAATTGAAATATTATAAAATAGATTGTAAACGAAGAAAATATTATTGTAACAATTGAAACGTTTGAAGAGGAAGATTTTATCATATTGATATTTTAAATCAATCAGATTTCACTGCATTATGCACTGTTGCACCGAGATACGAGATACGTGAATTATCACCTGATACATGGTAACTACGCAAATGGAAGATACCAGAATAAGGGAACGATATCCGTTTGCTAGCCAATGAGTCACAACAGGTGTCGAGTATTCAGTTTTCCTCGGTTTCGTTTTAATGCAACTCTAGCCGAAGTGCTAAAACGTTACGCGAATTCATACGTTGCAAAGACAAATTCGAATTCGAGTTTCGTTCTAGAAAGAATTTGGTGATAAAAAGTAGCAATGCGGAATCGGATTGCTTCACCTATTACTGATTACAGGTTGCGTGGAAAACATGTCATCGGTGCCGATAATAATCAACGGGCTAGGCTAACGTCTTGCGGTATTCGGTAATTGACAGATGAATCAGCGCGACGAAATTGTAAATCAGGTGGTGGTGGTGGTACGAGGTGACGAGACGAGCGATAGAGAGAAGCGAAGGTCGTAAAATCGTATAAAAGCCGGCGCGGGCCTGCCAGGAAGCATAATCACAGCAGACGAAGCTGTAGCATCAGAGCAACTCCAGTGAAACCTAATCGCAAACTAACTCGTCTAATCGCAATGGCCCGCGCAGCAGTCATCCTCGTGCTCATCGTAGCTATCGCTTATGCCAGTAAGTACAAAACTGATTTTCTGATTTCATTATTCGGTTAAATTTTGATTCCGAGTTATGAGTCGAGTTCTTATTTTATGCACACATTTGTCTGTCATATTTTAATTAAATCGCACGATTGTTTGTAGGTGCGTATCCTCAACAGCTTGAGGAATCTCAGCAATGTGGTCCCAACGAAGAGTTCAAAACTTGTGGAACCCCTTGCGAGCCGAAGTGTGGCCAAGAAACTCAAAAGATCTGCACTCTGGTCAGTATTAAATGAAAGAATCAGAGAGACTCAAAGGAATCCGTGATTCTAACGTCTTGGGAATTTATTACAGAGATGCATGATTGGCTGTCAATGTAAGGAAGGCTACGTGAGGAACAGTGAAAATAAGTGCGTCCTGACTCGCGACTGTTAAATTCTAAGACGGCCAGTGGGAGGCGAACGAGTTCTTGATGTTGATGAACAAATTTAGGAATAGGAGCACGCGTTAGTTATGCACGGTAGAACGCTTCCCGCAAACCGGTGTGACTTGGATTATTACTTTAGTGGTACCCACTAGCTCGTTATTTTGTTACGTTGCTTATTTTTGTTAAGCCCTCTTTTGATGGTACTTTACAAATAAATTTTAGATAAAAACATTTATCATTTTTTATTCTTTACCGTTACTCCTTTATTTCAACGAACAATGAAATTCTCTTTATATTCAATATCTTTTACACGCGTCTGCAATCTCTTCTGCAATAGCCACGTGAAAAGTCGTGTACTTCCAATCACTCATAATCTAATCGCAGTACAATGATTCTTTAAGAAAAAAAGATTAAAAATTTAAACGTCAATGTTTAAATGAATCCGATCCATCATCTTTAAGGTAGTTATCACCTAAACACTTGGTTATAAATTTTATTCGAAATAATCACGAAACTTTCAACAAAATTAATTAAGCACCTGATAGATACTTTTGCCAAGTTTCAGTGCATTTTACCAAATAGTTTCTGAGTTATGCTTAATCAAAGTTGATTACTTTTCGATATTTTTAGTATAAGCTTAACTCGAAATATACTACTGTATAGAAACTCATTATCACTATGTCCAGGAG